GGCCTCGGGGCCCCCGGCCGCTGCCCGCCAGGCCCCGCGATGGACCCCTTGAGCCAGGTGAGCCGGGGACGGGAGGCCTGGCCCTGCCCGGCGGGCTGGCAGGTGGCTGTGAAGATGGAGCCCTTCGTGGGAGGCACTGAGGGCAGAGCAAAGGCCCTGGGGTGGGAAGGCCCTGGCGGGGCGGGGCGCGCGGGGGGGGGTAGCAGCTTAGCCGGTTACCGACAGCCACTGAGGCCACGCGCAGCCGCTGTGACGCCGCGGGGCCCTTGCAGAGCCCCAAGTGGGGTCCCCACCGAGGTAGAGGGGGGCCGTCTGGGGAAACTGAGGCTGGATTGCAGGAGGTGCCCTTGGTGTCTGAGCCAGTGTCTTGTGGGCTGCAGGCTGAGCAGCCGGGGTGGCGGCCAGGCTCAGGGGCTCCGGACAGCGCATGCCGGCGGGCGGCCCGCACCAGCCCCGCGCGTCCCCAGCCGCGCCGGTTGCGGGCCGCTTGGGGAAGGCCCAGCTTCCGCCTTGCTATGGGGCCCAGCCACTCCGGGATGCCCAGGCGTTCTCCCAGCCGCAGCCCCAGGCCCCTCCGCATTTTCTGGGCTGCGGGGCTCTCCGCAGCCTGAGGCCCCGCCTGGCCTTGCTGGGAGCGGCCTCGGGCCCTGGCCGGGCTGCCCTGCTGGGGCCTCCCCGCGGCTGGTGAGACCCAGCCAGGCTGGACGGCTGCCGGTGGAGCGCCGCGGGCCCCGAGCCCGGTCGCCCCAGCTCTGCCAGGGAGGAGGGCGCGGGGCTCCGCCTGGCCCCCGGTGTGCGGCCTGCGCGGGGACTTCCTGTCTGCCAGGCCGGGCCTCGCAGGCTAAGTGGCTTCTCCTTACCAACCCCCGGCGGTGGAACCTGTCCCACGGCTCCCCGCGGAGGCCGTGTGTCCGAAAAGGCCCCGGCCAGGCTGGGCGCCCAGGGGACCGGGCAGCCCTGGCCGGGCGCCGAGGTCGGGGGTCTGCGGGACTTCACCCCAGATCGCCTCCCCAGCCCTGGGCCCGCACCCGCCG